ATTTTGACCATACGACTGCTTTTTCGAGCCTACGGCAGCGTTTCAGCGATTGCCGGCGAAAATCTCAAAATTGCGCGCGAAAACGCTGAAAACGCTGGCGCTTTGAGCGTTCGCGGACAATTTTGAGCTTTTCTATGGCGAGCGCATAAACGCCGACACGCACTAGATCGACAGATCAAAACGCTAGATCGATACGTTCCCTTTTCTAGTTGCTCAGAACGCTGGCGTAGCTCAAAACGCTGACGCAAAGCATGAACGCATCCAAGCTTTACTTGCAATCTCTGTGCACAATCGAAAATGAAGAAAAAAAAGAACGAACTGCAGTGCTGTCCTGGTCCATGATAAGTGGGGCGACTCTTTCAATGTACCGACGGATGTTTGTTAGACAGTCCTTGGGAATCGTACCTACATCCATGGCACGTGCCACCAGTTCTTTCTGGAAAGAATTTACTCGAAAAAATATTATCTACATCTAGCTATAGAAAAACGTAAATTAGCGTAGTAAACAAGTTACGCAAGAAAGAGAAAGAAAAAGCAGGGCAATACTTCATCAAGAGCGTGAGGTTATGCTCAGCAAATTAGCTAACCAACTTCCGATAGGTTCTATGCTATTTTTTCCAGTTGTAAGAGAACCATTCGGAGAATCACCACTGGAGGATCTCTTAGAGCTCTTTCAAAAAACAAACTCACACAGACTTCCTCCATTTTTGCTGTTGTGTACTCGTTCGAAACCAAGTATTCCGCGTATTCAAAGCACTTTTGGTTTGTTGAGAGAAGATTTGCGAAGTGCTTCAAAGCGATTGAGAACTGCAATGACAATTTAGTTAGCATGAAGCCTCCAAAATCGTAAGATTACTTGTGGAGAATAAAAATGTTAAGTGCACATACGGAGAGCTTCCACCATATTCAGAAATTCACTGTGCACAAATATGTTTTTCTTCAGATTGCGGGCTTTTATAGGACAAATGATGAAACAAATGATACTCGAAGGTTCTAACTAGGCCTCTGTTAAATACAATATACCCTCCAGAAACTATGATGTATACATTACGGTGAATTTGCGGATGCCTCAGCACTTTAGTATTCCTGCTAGCAGAGCACAGAAAGGCTAAAAACCAGCTAACAACAAATGAATTCAATAATTTTTGGACAGTTAGTTTTTCATGGCTTTTTCTCTGTTCCTAGCCAATAGCCAATTGCGATTCATTTCAAAATTTTATATGTTATAAACATATAAAACATATTTTATATGTTTTATATG